CAATAACATCATTAAGTTCAATTCCGGGGATGTAGACAAGACCAATCATAAAATTAAAACCATTCTGAGTTCTCCTGCAGCTGCAGGTGGATTGGGAGGTACTCAAAGTGATCAAGAATTCTTATGTGAAGTCAGCTGGTATTTTCATGCGTATATTTCCTCTTTATTCTGATCCTTGCTGGTATAACCTGATATATAGGATGATGATTAAATGATTGTTTTTTTCCCAGGTTGAAGTCTCCAGGGTTGAAATCTGCTCAGTTTCAGTTATTGACCACTAGCAGCGAGGAAATTTTGCAGTCCTGTAACCTCCCCAACCATCCAGAAATGGTCCTCCTGCCAAGCACCATGCTTCGAGTGGTGAAGCATAGCCACTTGGCTGAGAAACACAACAGGGATATGCCCCTGGGGACGCTGTGCAAATAATGTTTTGTTTGGACCATGGTTCATGAAGGAGGTAACTGATAAAATGATTATTAATCATCATTAATCTGCAGAAAAAAAGGGGGCACATCATTACTTCCATTCAGACCCATCCACAGGCAACAGCCTCCTTGAACTGGAAGAAGTACTATCACAGAACAAACCATGAACCCCTAAATAGGGCCTATATTTCGATTCCAAAAATGGCCCCATCACGGCAAAGACAATGTAGCCAATCGGAAATAGTGAAGGATATTCTCGAAGAGCATGCAAAGGTCGGTGGAGCCTTCACAGGATGGCTGCAGGCGAAATGTTTCATTCCAGCTCCTCATTACAATCATAACATCTGGGCCAGTCCAAGTCCCCTGCAACCCCTGCAGTCAGCGTTAAAGTGACAAAAGCAAGGTGGGCCAGAGAACCCAAAAGCATGACGGCACACAGCACGCCTTTTACTATCACAGAACAAACCATGAACCCCTAAATAGGGCCTATATTTCGATTCCAAAAATGGCCCCATCACGGCAAAGACAATGTAGCCAATCGGAAATAGTGAAGGATATTCTCGAAGAGCATGCAAAGGTCGGTGGAGCCCTCACAGGATGGCTGCAGGC